TCAGTTTTAAAAGGTTTCTACCAATATCTGCTGTTTATCCACTGTTCCCTAGAATAAATCAGAACCCTGTTTTTCACTAGTAATTAAAAGGTATACTTAGAATTTAATTTCTATGTAATAATTTCACAGATAGTTCTGAACTAAAACAGTTAGCTATAAATTAATAGTGAATATATATCTCTTGCTTTTTTAAGTTAGCAATTAGAATCCATAAATAAAGAGTAAGATCATCATGGGCTCATTCTTATGCAAAATATATATGGTTTTAGAACTCGCCCACAAAAGCAATGTAGCATTATTTCATAAAGGTACATCTGACCAGGACTTGCATATTTCAGTGCATTATCTTTGTGATCAAACAGATGCAGACAGAACAAATCTAAGTCCTGCTCTATATTCATCGCACGTGAGGTATCTTTAAAATATGCTTTCACAGACATTTTTACTCTAGAGGAAGCAATTTCTATTGTAGCACCTAGCCTCTGATTAGACTGAATTAGATTTTTTTTTTAACCCACCTAACACTCTGATCCTGTATCTGACTTTCATTTGCAGCAATGCAAGTCTTATTTTCACCACCTCTCAATTTGTAACAATGAGGAAACTTTCTTCTATTCAGAGTTTATCAAAGGACGGAAATAGAGAAAATTCACTCTCCAACAATTGCCCAACAAATTAAGTAATAAATTGCATTAGGGAATATGTATAGCTCCACCAAGCAACACAAGACCTCTGCAGCCCTGTTTCCAAATGTCCCTCCAATCTTCTGCTCATTCAATTGTGTTGCAGACTTTTTTCCAGGTGGATGACATTCACTTCTGTGTACCAGAAGGGTGATTGGCCTTCTTAAGACTTAATACAAACACTGCATGAACACTATTCTGGTCCTCCCCATGCCCCTAAGAAAAGTTGAAGACTGCTTTAATGACCCAATTTCCTTCAGGCCATTACAAAGGTGTCTCACTTTCTTTGAATCTTGCTGTTTTTATTTCTTATCACAAAGCCTTCCCTATAGGCACGTTATCACCAGCAAGCGCTGCAGGATGGAACAGGTCGTAATTTCTTACCTTTATGCTCCCTTTTTTAATCAGAATGGCATTTATATAAACCTGTCCTACCAGAATTTATCCTGCCTTTCCAAAGATCTCTGATCTATAGGCTGATTCACTCTGAATGCAGTGCAAGGTGAAGTGCATCTCTTTAGCTCCTGCACAGTCCAGCAGAAAGCTCATCACTGGTATAAGTCCACACCATTGTGGTAGTCAGTGTAATCAGCAGGGACCCCAATCTGCACACAAGTCCAACCCCATGTGTCCCTTCCTACATGACCTTTCCTTTGTGCAGCAGCCCAGGAACCACACAGGTTCCGGTCACTGCCCTGCAGCTGTTTCTGTTTGTGCTTCTCCTATAGTGGTGGTACTGAATGCCCCCCAACTACCATTAGGCTTTGAGATGTCACCTACCAACCTACACTGCAGGTCCCATTACTGCAGTATATACACTTCTATACTACTACACCAGTGTTTGCTGGCTTTATCCCCATGTTTTTCTTAGATGGGAATATAAAGAAAAGAGTAGAACACAGAGAAATAACAATACTGCAACACAGAAGTTTTTGGCACAACAAGGGAGGGTCCAGCATTTCAAATCAGCATCCATCTCATTTCTTTCTCTCCCTCAACACTGTCTGCAGCACAGATCACTTAGTTCTACAAAAGGACACGCAAGGATTAAAAAAAACACAGAGAAATATATGCCTCTGTGTGAATGGCACAGAGATTAGGGGCTGACTTGCTTCTGAAGGGACAGAGTTTCAGTTGGCATAAACTGGCTCCATTTTATTGTCATCAGTGAAGTTACATCATTTACACCAGCATAGAATATAGCTCAGAGGCTTCAGAAGCTCAACACTTTCAGCAAAATAAAAAGAAGGCTGTCACACGCTGGTTTATGGCTTAAAAACAATGAATGGGATCTCACAAAGTTGTAGATAGCAATTTGTTAAGCTATCACAGCAAGACCTAGGGGCAAATCCAGGGCTGAAAAGCATTTCCATCCAAAATTGTTACTGTACCAAATAAGCTACCTAGCAACACAAACAGACTCCTTGGTGCTAATGAATTTAAACAGCACAGATACATTACCACCTATGGCTCTTTCCCTCCAAATCACCTGGCTGAGCTCAATAAAATGAAGACAACAAATGTTTTTATATCTGGAGCTGCATTCGGTGTGTGGTGTTTTTATCACTTTACTCTGAAGTTCACTGCAAAATATGCCTACTGATTCAGTTAGAATTTCTTCGAGAAAAGGATCTTCTTGTCAGCCTTTTTACTTCAATCCTGCTCTGCACAGCATCACCAGCTTTGACATGCAGTAGCACACTGGTGGAAAGAGAGAAAAAGGAGGAAACCTACAAGAAATCATTTTTTCTTCTGACTTAGGATTAAAACTTAGGAAACATTCTGGTACTACGTAAGGCTAATATTACAGCAGCAAGTATAAAGCACGGTCTTCTTTCTGTCTGTGCACTGAGTGGGCTGAGAGTTTTTATTTCATACTTCATTTACACCTTGCTGAATGATGCCATAGAAATGGCAGAAGTTTCATCTCCTCCCACTCATGCAGCAGCACAATATGTGTAGCAGCAGCAGCTCCCACATCGCTTGCAGGAAGCTGGGGTCTGATGCTGATCACAAGTCCAAAACTCCTTCTCCTGAGTGACATTCTGAGTTGGTAGCAAATATCTTCTATTTTCTTATTAATCCTTGCTGCAGAGATAACAGCTGATAGGAAAGCAGCTTAGAATTTTAATCACATACATTAAAAAAAACTGGGGTTTTCCTCAAAAGTTCGTCACAATGAGAAATGGGAGGGCAAATTAACACAAAATCTGTTTAGAAAAATGCTGAAATGAAGAGGACAAGCATTTGTATGTATGTATGTACATATGTACATATGTACATACATACTCTGTATGTAAGAACAGAGTCTAAAGCAGAAAAAGATAAGATCATATATTCTTTGTTAATCACCATCAATTCACTGGAAATACTGCAGTCTAACCACATCTGAAAATCTAGAAACTTTTGAGAGGACTCAGAGAAAGCTTAAATAAATAAGGTCAGAGGACTGCTAAGAGCAATACTGCTTAGGGAAAGCAAACATTCACATCTCAGGTCCTGAGCAAGCCCAAGAGGCTTGACAGGTGCTCAGGGCCATGGCTTTGGCAGATTCCAAAGGCAGCCAATAAATCAAACAGATCTAATGAAAAGACACTGCTCTTATGCTGAGAAGCTCTTTGGTCTGAAACTTTCAGAAGGCAAGAAACATGGTCAAGGAGGTTAGTAATGAACTCAGAACTAGTCTGAAACTTCTTAATATTGGTAAGTGACCAAGGACTTCTGCCAGCTCCCATGCATTCTACTTTGGCCACAGTCCCGTTTGTCCATTAGTACACATCAACTTCTCACAATACACCAGAGCAAACTCCATCAACTAACACTCTGCTAGCAGTTTCACTGAAGAGGCCAAGAGCTCAATCTGCATATTGTCCAAATAACTCTGACTGCCATATCCTGTCTATGTGAAATATTTTTAGCAAAATTTTCACGCTACTATGCAACCACTGTAGAAGGGAGCACAAAAGGACCGCCATGCCGAATGTGTGCCAGTGAACCTTGTCTGCTACGAGCAGGAGGGCTGACATATCAGTCTGTGAACACTGCAGTGAAATGATGTTTGTACAGATGAATAGTAGAGACAATCTCTTTGAACATTTTGACTGCCATGAATAGAATGCCAATAAAAACTTCAGTGTTTGCTTGAACTGATTACCAATGCACATAAATAGTATTTTCTAGGTAGAAATCACTGTATTTTAGTTAAATTTTCTCTTTTAATCTTTTTAATCTAAATTCACCAAAAAAAAAGTGATTTAATAAAAAACATTACAATTTGCTAACTTTAGAAATGTCAGCAAATATTTTGACTATTTAAAAGCATTTGTTTTTCTAACTCCTTCTGTTGGGAAATTCTTTGAAACTAATTCTGGACATTAAGTTCTAACTTCTTCAAATAATAATTTGGGGAGGGGAAAAAACGTGACCACAATATTACCAGCTCAGTATTGGCCACATAAGCAAATTTTGATGCCTTTTCAAATTATAGGTGAAGAATGCCTACGTGTTATTGCAAATGAGTGTGTCTGATAAATAACAGGATGAAGCTACAGAGAATCAGAGAATGTTGGATTCCTGAGAAACGTGTGCAGTCCTAAAAGTCCTAAGTTTAGCTTTCAGAACACAACATTTCTAATCACTCCAGCATAGTCATAACACTTTTTTTTTTTTTTAATCATTGAATAATTCATCTGCATCATTCTTTTTTGCAGATTGCCAAGATCTACCCAGGAATATCCTTTGTGTGCTACAGATTCTTTTAGGTCTGCAGTGAGAGACCCAAGAGCTGCTTTGATATAGAGAGCTTCACAACAAAGTACCTTGCTTGTAAAGGAGTCCTGCTGCATTTTAAGCTATTTGCATGAAAATGCCCTAGAACTTGAGCTGCCTAAATCAAAGCCAACCAGCTGACAAATCCAGCACAGAACCAGCAAAAGTGGGTTGCATATTAGTGAAAATTTGAGAGGTTGATACATCAGCATGCAGAATCAGATCAGCTCTAACACTTACAAAGAATCATCAGAATTGCACAGGCTAAGAATGGAAAAACCCTATTGACATGATGAAAAAATCCTACTTATATGTATCCTGCGGGTTTAGAAACAGAAGCTGCTGCTCAGATAAAATGGTCTTTGCCTCCAGAGATGTTAGCGATTTCATCCCACTCGTTGCACCCACCAAAAACAACCTGCAGCAGCTCTAATGGGAGCATGCAGAATGCTTGACCAATTAAAGAAGCAACATCAGCAAGAGCAAATGGCAGCTGATCACATTGCCAGGGCAGTGACAGGCTACAAGAGGAATTTCACAGAAGCTTACCAGAGGGAAGAACTCAAGGCAGACTTGAGTGAGGAGGCCAGCAAAAACAGGAAGATTGGGCCACTGAGCGAACTGAAATAGAAAAACACATGTAAAATGGGACAGGAAAAAATCTGTGTGGAAAACATCATAAAATATTTCAACTGCTAGCTGGTGTGGAAAATCACTCCTTTAAATCTTCAGCCTTTATGAAAATACTGATAACAGCAAGCATTTTGAAGTTCGATATTTTTACAGAGTTCAAAAACCTTGAAAAACAGGGTCATAAGTACCCTGGATTACATACACAGAATGTAGATGCTAAGGACACAGTCAAATACAAAGCTGAATGTCCAAAGGTTTAGGCTACTGAATCTACACAAGAATTGATTGTGAGTATGCTGGAGTTGCTTTTCATTTTCAAATAATCCTTTTGTCTATGTTAGCTATAAATAAGATCTTTTGGACACTTTCATGCTACTACAAAAGCATTTGGAAAAGTATTAGCCAATATTCCTGATGTTACCAGACCCGAATTCTTTCAGAACTATTCTCCTTTCTCCTTCCAACATGAGATCAATGAGAATGTAGAGGATAGGTATACCTTAAAACACACACCAACAGCCACCAATTAATTTGTCAGGCAAAGTGACAGGGAAGGATGCTGCAAAGTCACTGAGGAGCTGATAAGATTTGGGAAATTAAGAGCAAATACTGTGGACAAGAGGGATCTACTGAAGTAGAAGTATTCACAACAGTATATTTGACATTTCCAGCATTTGGCAAGATAAATCCACCATCCTATTTTATTCCACCTATGATCCTTTTTGGTCTCCCAATGTGTTTGTGCCCTCTCTTGCATAACAGATCCTTACTCCATTCAAAATCAAATTAAAAAAAAAAAAAAAAAAAAAAAAAAAACAGAAGTAACAAAGTTCTACTAGCTGAAATTGATTTTGAAAGCATGGGAAATCACAGAATCAAAATCTTGAAAAGGTTGAAAAGACCTCTAATATCCTCTAGTTCAACTGTCCACCTACCAGAATATGTTTTTCCTAATATCCAAATTGAACATTATCTGTTGCAACTTGAGGTCATCTCTTTTTGTTCTATCACTAATGTGGGAGGAGAGGCCAACCCCCACCTCACCATAACCTCCTTTCAGGTAGATGGAGAGGGCAATAACGTCTCCCCTGAATCTTCTCTTCTCCAGACTAAACAATCCCAGTTTTCTCAGCCCCTTCTATTAAGCTTTTGCTCCAATACCCTCACTAGCCTTGTTCCCATTTTCTGGAAAGGGCAAAATGAATTATACATACTGCAAAGACAAATACCTGCTTGCACTCATAGCAAGATGTGCCTAATATTTATTACTTGGCTTAAAGTTGTCAACTCCCCACAGAAGCAGAAATGACCTACTCTTGCCACTACTGAAACACACCATCTACCACCTCTCTGCACTCATGTCCACTGTTTGGTCCCCATAAACATGCAGCAAGCACTGATGAATGTCAATGGATGCCAAAATAGGAGGCATTACTTTTGGAGTAGCCTTTGTATATAAGTACTGAAAATATCAATTATATAATTGTGTGTACAGATTACTTTTAAAAATGCCCTGACAAAAACAGACATTTTGCAATGAAAACCTTCAATTTATTCCAAAGCCATTTTTATCATCAATAACAACAAAGCTCCAAGAAGATGTTGTGAACAGCTAGTTTTGCCTAATTATCACCTCTTCCCACACCCAAGAACAGCCAGCAATGGTTAGAAATGAGATCTGAAGTTATGATGTTGCCATCTGTGTCAGAAAAAAATTGTTTCAGAATATATTAACCAGAATTATAATAGCTGTAAATTACCTGTAAGTTTACAATTCCTGTCGTATTTCATATTACTGAACTGAAAAGCATCCACTTAAATATGTATACACATACATACATGCAAGCATATATACACTTGTGTGCGCATACTATCTAAATAACACACGCAGGTACAGTTCTTGCTTCTCTTGTCAGCTCTTAACAGATTTGAAATGAGAAAATACGCAAAGAATAACAATGCAGTAAAGCTAAGCATTATGACCTGCATTGAATTTACAAGAGAATGAGGGTGTCTACTTTTTTTTTTTTTTTTTTTTTTTTTTTTTTTTTTTTTTTAAGATCATGACTTTCTTCTCTTGTAAAATGTCTTTTTCCTATATAATCTCCAAAGAGATGCTCCTGGCACAAATTACTTAAAATCCCTGTAATGCAATTTTAAGATCACTGCATAAAACATTTCTTCCATACTTCTAATAATAATTTTCTGAAAGCTACCACTAGGAACAATTATGTACAGTTTAAAGGCATTTGTAAGAAAACTGTTTATCAGCATCTAGACGGATCTACATCCAAATGGTAGATTTAGCCTCTGAATCTTTGATTTAGCTGACAGACATGTATAATCCCCAACTATTGGCTAAATATCTCTTTGGATATGTGTCAAAACTAATACAATTGAGAGAATAAATTCAGTTCACTAAGTTTCCTCCAGATCTGGGTAGTCAGAACTGCAGCTTTTGGTGGATACATTTTTAAAATTCAACTTTATTCCTCTTTCTTGATTCAGAAACTAGATCTATTTTGTTCCAGAGGGCATCAGTGTAACCAAATGTTTGAGTTTAGAATTACAGCTTTAAGGGCTTTGTTTATAAGAATCTAAAATAGATCTTAGCCCATAATATTTACCTTTTCTTGTTCAAATGACTGTGAGGCTGGATAAATAACAATTTTGAAGCAACATAATCAATGAAGTATAACAGAATAAATGATGCAAAGCAACACTTATACGGAAGAGCCACACAGGAGGAGATGACAAGATATTTTGTTCTATGACAATCAGATCATAATAACTCTGAAGATTCTAATGATTTATTTTGTTCCCTGCTAAGGTTCAGATTTCAGAAACAAACTCACATGGAAGACTGTGCGTGAAAGCCAATTTTGTACATGATTATGCTCACATCAAAAAATAATTAACATAAAGCAAACCCCTTGTTAGACACTGAAGTGCTACTTAAAATTAGTAGTCAAAAAAAGGACAGAAGGCTTTCCTTTTTTTTTTTTTAAATCAATGATTTTCATATTAAGTCTAAGAAAAACGATTATAAATAAATAAATTCTAAGTTGTAACACACACAAAAAAAGGCTTGATCTTCACTATTGAGGTTTGAAGTAACGTTATTTGCAGATTAAGCCTTCCCAGGGGGTGCCTAGGTTTTCTTAGTTTTGATTCAGAGTACCAGTGCTCAAACACAACAAGCATGCTCCAGCAGGGTGAGTTCACCTGCTGTTGGAAGGCAGCTTGAAGGCCATTTTTAAAGAAGGAAACTGGGGACTGAGGCTGACCCTACAGCAACAACAGGGAAAGACCACTACCACCACCACCCCCTCCCCCAGAGCAGGAGCCTATACACAAGGATAGGGCCTAGATTGACTCCTGGGAATTTAGGATAGCTGAAGTCTTGTTCAAGCAAATACAAAGATTATTACAATAATGAAACAAAAATACCTTTTCTTGAGGTGGAACATCACTGATTAAAGTCTTCCCTATAAAATTGTTCACTGCTTACAAATAGTATAATGTACATGCACTCATAAAGAAGCATATAAAAAAAATCAGACTTCTGTAAATCCCTGAAGCAAATCCACTTCTACCAAGTCTCCTTTATTCTGCTGCTGGCTGAGCAACAACCAACAGTCAATCGCCTCATCGTGGTGGATCCAGGGTAGAACAGGCCTCCTACTACCAGCAGAACTTTGAAACAAGTATTCATCTTTTAAAGAAAGAAAATAAATGACTTTAGAATGTTTTTCATGAGCCAAGCTCAGTGTGTCATCCAACTCTTATAAAAATGGATGTTTCTACACAATTACTTGTACTCTGGACTCAATTGCTTCATTTAATAATCAATGCCTCCCACTCTCAGATGTCTGCATAAGTTCTTTTAGCTTCTTTTCTAGATTATAAAAATTGCATGTGTGGATATGTAGGAGTATACATATACATACAGGACAAAAATGTTTATTCAGAATAAATGATTTGGCTCTAAAGGAAATGAATTGGCTGTATGCCAAAGGAATGATCCCTTGAGAGAAAGAGAATGGGAGGGAAATGCATTTTTTCAAGCATTATTTCTCAAAGTTCTTACATTCTGCTTAAGTAGAAAAGAACAAAATGTCTCGGCCGTATTTCCCTTAATCTAGTACAAGCACTCATATAATAATAGGCATCACTTTAATCTTCCAAGCAGCTCCATGGAGAATTACCTTAAGCTCATTTTGAGAAGTTGCGTCTTCTAAAAAAGCCAAGAACTTCTAGAAAAAACGGGAACACAGAAGGGGTCCTCACAATACTTTTGCCAACATTCATCCTCAAGCAGTCATCCTCCAGAAGTACCACTTCCAGGTACTACAGAGTATATAAACCACTCAAAGTGATATTTCCATCTCTGACACCAGGTCCTGAAGCATTACATAAGCACTCATCCAGTTTCCAGAATTTGTTCAGACAGCTTGCTGTCTAGGCCATATAAAACAAAACTGAAACTGCCATCTGAAATCCTTTGTTAAATTCACATTCCTCAAATTTCATGTTCGAAGAATGTAATTAGAGTCCACTATGAAGCCCAACACATAAAACTAATAATTTTAATCTAGTTTTGCCTATTGGACATACTTATCACAAACACTGAATGCTTTATGATCTAAAAGCAAGTAAGCGTGCCACGCATTTTGCACATACAGTGCAGATGTATTATTATGCAGACAACCCATATTCTGAGCTGTATGTGTGCTGAGACAGACCATACAGGCAAGAGATCAGTGCGAGGGTACAAGATGAGGAAATACGCCTGACAGTGAGCTTTCTTGATACAGGAACACTAAGTCAGGAACTGGACTCCGAAGTTTCACCTGTATTGATCATTACCTAGCCATCATCATCAAGGATTCATTTCCATGAGTTTATAGAATGTGATACAGCACAGCACAGAAACCAACCACATACTGCCAGCTGCTCCATCTGAGCCACCAGGCCTGGGAGCATCA